ATGGTCAGAAAGAATTAGCAATATGAAGTTCTGGGAGCAAACCAACCAAGAACTGATTGCGTAACAAATATGTAGAAGAAAATGGAGATGGATTGGCCATACGCTGAGGAAACCATCAATTGACATCATTAGACAAGCCATTGCTCGATTGGAACCCGAAAGGGAAGCGGCGAGTTATTCGTCAGTGCAACGGTGACTTGGAGGAGGTCATGTGTAGAGGAGATGAAAGCATGTGGGTAGACTTGGAGCGGGGTGAAAAAGTTGGCAGAAAACCGAAGGCAATGGAGATGCGCAGCTGAAGCCCTATGTTCCTCTAGGAATTAAGGGATATAATAAAAATATTAGGAAACACGCTGAGAAGACCGTTGGCTAACGTCTTGCTCCAGGCCGTCGAGTGGAGCAGGAGTGGAAAACAACGAGTTGGGTGTCTGAGGGTGACATGAAGGAGATCATTAGTAAGAGATGAGAACCTATGACCAATCACGGCGACAGCTGAAGAAGATCTCAGAGAATAGGACAAAATGGTGATCTACTATGATGTTCCACTCGAAATCCAAAGGAATAAAAATAATCTAATCATAATTGTAGTGAGTGCGGAATTAAGAACTTATCGATGGTTGCTACAGCTCAGTTTTAATACATGAGAAATCTATCTGTTGCAAAATGCATTATTACCCAACATCACTTTCACAGAATGTGAAGCATAAAATTATGTTAAAACAGATTATCAGTGAAATAAATCTTGTGCATAAAAGAACTCTTAGTCGAAAGAAACCTACGGAGCATGTCTATGCCTAAGACCGCAGAACATGTCAAGTCCTTAATATTAGAAAATAGCATGATAAAAATTTCAACATAATAGTGAGAGAGTTTTACCCATATTTTTCTAACCTTAGTTAATTATAAAGATACGGTTAACTTATTTGTAGTGTTAGCAAATACGTTTTTAGGATTTTGTCATGAAATGACATCGGTTAGAGAATCATTGGAAAACCAACATTGGAGTACTGGATAGTTACTTCGCCCTAATTTGGGACTCTTCAACAGTATACGTACGCACTGGTAATCGAACCTAGGACCTCCCAGTTACAAGGCGAGCCCATACACCAATATCAGTTCATGATGAAATCCTGAAACCATCAAATCCCCACAAACTAACATTCAAATACCTTTTAACGTTCCCCCTATCATCTTTGCGCCCCCTAACCACTTCTAAATTCTTCCTAAACTCTACTATATGACGCTTAAAGAAGAATAGATAATTTCAGAGATTGATATAAAAGTCTATTTGAAAAGGAGACAACATCACATGCAAATATTTCACTTTTTTATTTCAAAAACTCCATTTTCATAAGATAATAAGGTATTTTTATCATCAGTATTACACATTTCATACGCAAGTCAACTGGATTGAAATTTTCCAGAACGCATAAAAATACTTCATTATTGTCAGTTTCAGTATTATACCTATAAATACATATATATTATACTGTCTAAACTTCACTTCGTTAATCACTCTAACCCCACTTTTTCACTGCTTGTTTTAAAATTCTAAAAGAAATTGCCTCTCGTGAATAGCACTTAGTAGTAGTGATAATAATACTACGTCATAAGTAGAATCACACTACTTACTTTTTCTGATAATATAAGAAAAACTTCTTATAAAAATGAATGTCATCTTCAAATTACATAAGTCAAATTATCATTTTTTTTTAATTATCTCATGAGATTCAGAAGAGTGTATGTAGAGTTGCTCATTAACGGAAAAAGAAACACATCGCATACATAAGAACAACAACAACTTCAATGTATGTCATTATTACTAACTCCAGTATTATGTTTTTAGATATACGTATATATATAATGCATTCTTCACGTGAATACCTAGTACAAATGACTTATAATAGATTTTTTGTTTGGTCTTGTTTTTGTATTGATGCAGAAAATTTTATATGCATCGACTGATTGAATTGGCAACTAGTGAAAACAAGACAGTAGTAGTAGTATCAATGAATGGAAACATTTTTGATGAATTTTTAAAATTGTGTTTATAAACCTGAAATTAGACTAGATCATAATCAACTAACCGGTTTCTTTATTCTGGACAAGTAGATCTTTGCATTTGATGATAGATTGTATGATAATTTCAGTTTACTATGACAACAGATACTTAAAATTTGTTGTAATAAATGTAAAAATAGCTATGACAAGGCTAAATCTAACAACAATCATAAAGTATTTAATTCAGTTTTACATTTTCCAGTCGATTGATTGATTGCACCGAAGTGCTCGGTCTCAGGTTAACATGTCGGCTTCGTGTGTAGATGCTTCGACGATGTCTGGGCATGTAATTAGAAATTAATGGATGGGTGGTGACTAGCAGTGGAATCCAGGATGTGCATTTCGTCCTACTCGGGACTCATTGCCTGAATGTGCCTGCATTGAATTAAATAATTAATACAAGCCGTTGCACAAGAGGTGGCTCTCGTGGCCCATGTGGTCTAGCGGATAACGCTTTGGCGTTTGAAATTATGGGCACTGGATTTGAGCCTTGGTGGGAACATCATCACTCAATGAGGAATGCGGGTACATCCAGCTGACGAGTCCCAAATAGAACGAAATGCGCATCCTAGATTCCACTGCTAGCCACCATCCACCAATTAACTTCTAATCATAAAGTAAACATAAGAAAAGTGTAGGATTATATACTGTCAAGTGGTTATTTTTCGTATAACCAATTAATATCTCTTTACCATTGACTTTTGATGTTAGCTATGAAGCGGGATACTAAGATTTACATATTCATATAATAATATTAACAAACTTATGTATACACAGAGTATGTTTTGATTCATTTTATTTGCTAGTAAACACTTCATGTAATGACTATACCCCACATTCCACTTTCACTTACATATTTTATGGACACATGCCTCTTGATGTTATTTGGTTAGTAGTGACTAAAAGTAGAATAAAGGATGTGCATTTCATCCCATTTAAGATCCATCATTTGAATGGGCCTGCATCTCTAATGAGTAACTCTAAATAAACACCTACTGAGCATTTCATTCCAACACAACCAACGGGAAATACAAAATAACTTTATAAAATAACCTGTCTCTTAAAATTACAAGTTATAATTTAAATGTTCAACATGAAATGTTTCACATCCTAAATAGCTCAGATTGAAATTTAATCCTTTCAGTAACTTTAGAATAGATAGAAAATATACCCTGGGATGAATGTGGTTTGATTGGTTGGAGGATTTCATCATGAGCTGGCATCAGATAGAGAACCATTGGAAAACCAACAGGGAATACTAGACAGCTGTTTCGTCAGACTAGTTTGGGATCTCCACAGTACGAATCTGCCAAATAGGGTTCGAACCCAGGACCTTCTGGTTACAAGGCGAGCCCGTGGACCATTATGTTAATTATTTCTCTTTAATGACACGAAGCAACTTAAAGTATTAGTTTATGTCTTGTAACTTATCAACTAAAAACAACCCATTTGTAATCTTTCATACCAGACATTTTCACCCAGTGAGACTTCTAATTCCTATTTTTAATTTGATTATACATTCATTCGTAAAATATTCTAGTAGACATGTATTGAAATTGTTGGAATTAGTTATTTGGTTGAGACTGTATGAACCAAAGAAAAGCAATGATTTACAACAGATATTTTGTGGGCCTTAGAAATTAAGTAGGTGTATAGTTCACATACATATATGTGTTAAATGGTTGAAGACAATCCGTAAGAAGCCCCAGATCCAGGTTTTGCGCCTATTGGCACTCGTTAGTAGGATGTAGCTCTCATATGGGAGGAAATGATATCACCAAAGAGGTTCAAACTCTCACCACTCAGTGCCTGAGTGAAGCACATGAAGTACATGGTAAAGAAGCTAGGTGACCTGCAGTCACAGTACGCCTGGAATTGATGTTAGACAGCTGAAGGTAATCGACAAGAGTATAATACCCAAATAAATATCTAAACATATTTAATACCTGAATAATAAACTTCAATAAAAGTTACGAAAATTTAAAATAAGCAATAAATATAATGTAATACAAAAAGATTGTAGCATTGTCTCAACTACAGGAGGAACGAACGAGGATGTCAAATCAAGAATCGAGAAGGCGAGAAACACATTCATCAACCTGAAACAACCAATCCGGAAATACTCGTTACTCAGCATCAACAACAAAATTCGGTCGGATTTTCAATACAAACGTCGAGTCAGTCAGCTCTTCTATACGGATCAGAAACTTCGCGGGAAGGTCACAAAGAATATTTCCAACAGCCTGTTGCAGACGTTACCTTTATCAACAACTGTCTCCGCTGGCTCTTTACTGAAGATCAGATGGCCGGGCTGGGCCGGAAAGAATCGCCAACAAGAAACTATGGCTGGGAACAAACAAAACAAGAACCAATTGCCAACCAACAAATATGCAGGAGAAAGTGGAGGGAGATGGATTGGACACTCGCTCTCTGAGGAGGCCACTGGGTGGCATCGCGCGCGCGCGTCAGGCCATTGCTCGAGTGGAACCGGAAAGGGAAGCGGCGAGTTGAACGTCAATGCAAGGGTGACATGGAGGAGATCGTGTGAGGAGAGAGGAGTTGAAACAGTGTGGACTAACATGGATGTAGATGAAAAGTAGAGCAGAAGACAGAAGCAAGTGGAGACGTGCAGTTGAAGCCCTATGTTCCACTAGAAAACCAAGGGAACAATCATAATAACACAAAAAGATACTTATAAGTAGTTGGAAATGCATTTAATCAACAAAAACGGGGATGTAGTGTAAGTGGGAGAGTCTTTTTGCAATTAAATGAACAGTAGTATGTTATGGAGAGCTATAAGTAAGACATGCTCACCACTGAAGACATAAATATATTTATTAATAAACAGCAGATTTAATGTTAACGATATATACCACTTAGTGTACAATAATGATTCTTCAAAATACATTATAAATATTAGAATTTATTAAACTACTTACATTGGGATAATTTATCTCGAAAATTATTTATACAAGAAAATTTCATTGGAGGTACATGAGCTTCAGTGAAACGTTGTTCAACTTCATTGAAATTTTCTTCAAAATTTACCCATCTTGCAGTTTCTAGCCAAAGAACACGAAAATGTGCTGTTACTGGCATTTTAAAGGTAGATTCATCAAATTGTAATCCACCTTCAACTCTTGGTACCAATTCTTGAAGTTCAATAAACATTTGAGATGGATAAGAACCAGTATGAAAGCTAAGTTTAAATCCATCTCTATGATCTGAACTTCCACTATGTTCTTCTTCAACAACTAAAATAAAAAAAAAGAAAGAAACAAAAATAGTTAGAATACAGACTGAAATGAAAGCATAATTGTCTAAATAACTTTTAAGTATTTTTATAATGAAATCGAAAGTTTATTTAACTCAGTAAAACTTGTTCAAAGAAAAGCAGCGGAAACTTGTTGTCACTCTCCTCACATATACCCACTGAGTAACTGTAGTAAGTTTCGCTCAAGATATGCATATATAACCCTTCAATTGAAGTTAACAAGCTGCCTCCGAATTACTGCTGGTCTGAAACCCTCAGTCTTCCCCCATTCCATCGGTAATTTAATTAAATTAATTTTTTAATTTTGATTATAGCTTGATTGCACACAGTAATTTTGGTACAAGTATGGAATTTTCAGCATGTGATATCGGTAGCCCAAATTTTGAAGGCCGACCATTGATAGCAGATGTGTGTTGGTATGGGTTCGAACCTCAGACCATATGCACGGTCGGCGAGAGTCCTAACCGCTGTGCCACCGATAACAGTCTGTCGATCCAACGCTTTCCCAAGTAATCGCACTATCAACACAAAATTGGTTTTAAATTAATGTAGGTTCCCTTTTTAAATCAGTACTAAGGTGACTAGCTCTAATATGTACGAGAAATTTGCAACTATTAAAAAAAATCTGTTTTTAATTTAGATTTGTTGGCGAACTACTCAGATTTCAAACTCTTTCTATTCCATAAAGTTATTTTTTTACTCAATTAAAAATCTTTAAAAAAAGCAGAGTAATTCAACTCTTTAAAAGGGTGACATAGAAATACAGCTAGTTAGTTGTATTTATAAAAATTTTGATGTGGTTACTTTTTTTGATCTGACTAATTTAATTCAGAAGCTTCTGTGGCCTTTAGAGACAAAATCTTCAGTTCCTCGTTCAATCTGAGGTGAGTGTCATCATAGATTCTCTGGGACATTATTCATGAAGAATTAAGAAACCTACTTCAAATTGAATTAAGCGTCAAAGATATTGTCTGTAAAGACGATGAAAGCTTAGGCAGAAAAATATCCAAGTCAGAGAACATAACCATATCAAAAACATCCACCTGAGCTACAAATCCTCTTCATTAGGCATTCGAATTAATAAACCAAAAGAAGTTCGTAAAGCCATTATCCCTCCCTTGGCCTATTAAGATGTAACCAGCTGATAACTTCTCTACCACCCCCTTACTTATATTTTCAACCCCTCTCTTATCATCCCTTAATCTTATCACATCTTCATTAAAAATGTATTTGATTTACTTCGCTTGCAATCCAGAATTGCGTATTCGGTTCATTTGTTTTCCCTAGGCTTTGTCGACTACTTCTACCCGAAGATTTGTTTGTTTAATCGTACTGTTTTTCGTTATTCTTGTTATCACAAATCGCCCCACTTTTACATCCTTATTAATGATAGAACCATTATTATTATTACTGTCATTACTACTATTATGACTAACTGCATAACTGACATGCACCATCTTATTATCCTGTAGACAAAACACCATGATTGGTTTATATTTATTATTTATTTGTAAAATTATATATATATATGTATATATATATATTAGAGTTAAGCCTGATGAGATCTAATTAAAGGCCCAATATTGTTTGCACTTAAATGTGTTCTTCTAAATTATATTAGTTGGACAAATTTTGTCAAGGACAAGTTAAAAAAGAACTCTCCCCAGTTAGATTTTTAATGTTTTTAGTAATATATATATATTAAATGTAAATAATCTAGGTCAGTTTGATGTTATCTTTTAGGCTAGACAATAATTAGGCTTCATAATAATTTAAGGCTCTAAATAACAATAATTAAAAGGAGAACATTTTCTAAATTAAGAAAACTAGCAGTTCTATTTGATTACTTCTTATACAAAATAATAAAAGTAGAAGAATAAACTGACTTAATTGTTAGTATTAGTGTAAAACCTCAGGTTGCTTAAATCATGTTAAAATTCCATTCACTTGAGTGATATCGAGTATGACAACGAGTTATTCATTAACTTAGTTTCAGTGAACCGTCTGTCCTGAAAATTATCATGTTGAAGATAACAAATTTACTCAACCATTTATTGCTAAACTTTTCTTAAAGAAATGTCATAAATATTTTTGAGAAATACTAATTACTTCTAATATTTGCGAGATATTCCATTCTGTGCGTCGGTGGCATAGCGGTAAGGACGCTCGCCGACCGTGCACATGGTCTGGGATTTGATCCCTGGCCACAGGACCCACTCCTTTATGTCTCTAAGCCTTAAAATAATGCTGATAAAGAGGAAAGATTGGGCATGAGGCTAGCAACCCCACCCTATAAAAATTAAACACGGCTACAGAAACTTCAAGCCATCAGCTTGTAGCTCTATGTTCCACTAAGGAACGTGAAGGAAAAACAAAAATTCCATTCTGAATTATAATCACGCAATCACAATTTCAAAATTAATTTTGAACTGAAAACCAGAAACACTAGTTTGACGGTGGCTAACAGTTTAATATGGGATGCGGGTTTCTTCATCATCAGTTGAGATTATCTACACCTCAGTGATTAAGGGTGTTCCCACTGACACTGGAATTCAGTACCCATCGCTTCAAAAGACAAAACGTTACCCCCCAAGACAGCTAATCCAACAGATCCATGTACTGTGAGAAATCACTCTCTTTTCTAAAATATGATTATTTTTTATATAAGTTGTATAATTTCCATATGAGTCTTTGAATTTTAGAAATAAAAAAGACCTAAGTATTACTCAGTCGCCAGTAAATAAAACACAAAGAATGATACTTAATTCACTTTTCAAGTACATTGTCATAAGACTCGATTTATGTGATAGGTGGTAGACAGATTTTACAAACATTTATATGAGTAGCTTAAATGATAACAGATATTGTTTATCGTTAATGCTATCTATATAAAGAAACAATAACGAAAATAATATATAACAGTGTTTATAATTACCATAGAGAATTCGATCTCGTTTCATTAACTGCAATCAGAGAATAATGATAGTGATAATATTATTATGTATTTATATATTTGTCTTGTGTTCTTCTATATATTTTATGAAGTATATAGTCCACAATATATGTTGATACGGCTTTGATTTATCACTTATAGTATTGTGCTAATCTGTCTCATACGTCTTTTTTATTATTAATTTCAACTGTGAATAACCTTGATACACATAAGTTCATCAAGATGACATACACACTCATATGATCCTGTGACTAAAATTGTATGATCACCGATAGGCTCTTTTACAAACAGAAATTATTATTGTTATTATTATTATTGCATGTCTAGTGATTTTAGTTAATTTTGTGTAGAAAGCGTAGGAAAATAAATTTTGTTATGTATTTTGTTTTAAAAAAGAGTATGCATCATGTGTCTACTGTACAGTTAGTTAGTTAGTTAGTTAGTAAGTTAGCAAGTTGGTAAGTTAGTTAGTTATTTATTTAGTTAGTTAGTTAGGTGTCTACTACTACTAGTCTCACATATATTACGAAGAATAAGTGAGGAAAGTATTCCATTAATCATCTTTCTTTTTTTCTGTAACATATGTCTAACTGAAAAACATTATGAGAACTGGTTCAATCAAACTGAAATAGATTTGTTTAATTTATAGGTTCACGCTTATCTGAATATATGTACATAACGTACAATATGAACGATAATCCAGGTTCTAAAAAAGAAACGCTTACTCTAACCACATGTTAACCATCTGTATATTACTAGAGCAGCGAAAATAAGTTCTCACTATGGTGTGAAATGAATGAGGCGACGTTTTCACACGGAAAAGTTTTATTACTACATTTCATGTTGGCTAATAAATAAATTAGAATATCTAACTTGAGATGTAATGTGCAAGTAAAACAAGTAAAACAAAGACTAGCAGGTTTTACAGTTGCCAGAAGAACTGAAAACAGTTATCGTGATTTTGAATAAAGCAAGAACAACAGTGGTTTGTGCAGAATAATATGATACCATCATTTATTTCGTTGGCGAAAAGCCAACTGCTGCTTACAGCCTAAACACATTATGGTAACTGAATGTCTTTATTCTCTCATCTGATTACGTAATCTTTGCCTTTAACCTCACCCTCCCTTTTTTTATAATCTGTAATTTTGCTCGTCTCTAGTTTCTATGACGTGAGTTGAACTCAGTACATCGTAACCTAATTTATTAGTCACTCTGCATCTAACGCATATCTCATCTTTACTACATAACTCCCTTACCAATGTATGCATACATTTATTTTGTTTAAAATTGAACTGCCTGTGTAAAAACTATATATGTGTAATTCACCGAGCACTGTTTACTAATTGTGGAACTTTCTGTCAACTGACAACATGTAAAATTTGCAAGTATATTAAAACTTTTCTGTACGTAAACCTCATAATTGATTTAGGCTGTAAGCAGCTGAGCTGATGAGAAGCCAACGAAATAAGAGATGATGGTACCATATTATCCTGCACAAACCACTGTTGTTCTTGCTTTATTCAAATACACCAAGGGGAATAAATGAGAGAAGTTTTCGTGATCTTTTGTTTTTGTACTCTGTTTCACAATGTTTTTTTTGATAGAGTAAACCTGAAGAAATGAAAGAGAAAGTACTTCTCAATACAGAACGATCTGTTCATAACATCTGTCGGAGAAACCACTGTGTAGGTGGCACAGTGGTTAGGACTGTCGCCGATCATGCACATGGTCCGAGGTTCGACCAACTGCCAAGGCACATGTGATATTTATGGTTGGCCTACAAAATTTCGGCTACCGATATCACACGCTGAAAATTCCATTCTTGTACCAAAAAGAGGTGTGGAATCAAGCTGTAATCAAAAAATAAGCTAACGTTCATGGAGATGACCAGAATGTTCGCCTTTCTTCTATTACAAATTTATTCCTTTCGTTTATCTTCCTTAAAGAAATTTTCCTTTATGTTATTAGAAAGTCACTTATGTATGACTAATTGTGTGTAACAGTTAATAAACGGGTGAACTGAC